CTTTGAAGTCACAGTTTAAAGAAAATATCCTGCAGACTTTTCCTCCAATGGGATAACAACATTGAGCCTTGCATTTTCCAAAGCTATCACTAACAAATGAGTATAGGACTTACTACTCAGAATCTGTTTTCACCTTCCGAAAGCCAAATCTCGCTTTGTTATGGCTTCCACAGAAAACTTCCAAACAGAAACCAAAGCAAACCATGTGCACACATCTACATACAATCTGAAAAGGCAGTTACATATAACTGCTTTGAAGTGCCCACTCATCCACTTTATCCCAGTGCTGTTAGCTATAAGCATCACTGGTTGTTATTTCATTTCTTACTCAAATGTGCAAGAAAATAAGGAAAGCAACGAAGAATGGAATTCTTGGGTCTTTCCCTGTCACTTACAAAGTGAAGGCATGAAAAGCAGCCTGCAAGGTACTTGAAAAAGCCAACCGTAACACTGGTAGATCTTTTACATTCAAGGAGCTGGTCAGCTTCCTTAAGCCTGAAGTGTTCCAAGGAACTCATCAGCTGTTTTCAAACCAACATGAGGGAAATTTGGGGTCTTCAGGAGTTCCCAAAACAAACCAGTGACTTTCTGTGACTTGGAAACCTGTTGCAGAGTGAATCTGTTCAGCAGAGACTGCTACTGAAAAGATTTCTGTCTTTAGGGAGGAAAGAAAACCAAAATCCAGCCCAGCAGCTACATGCTAAAATCATAAACCCTCTCCAGATGCTTGGTTGGCTCTCTGGTTGAAGGGATGACTCTGGTGTCAGGCAAAAAAAACCCCATGTGAATTAGAAACAATTTTGTTTCTAAACTGGTGAGGAATGTTTGTCTGAAAGTTGCCATCCAGGACATTGTCAGATTCTCAGTGCTACACTCAAAAAGGTGCAGTCTTCACATCCCTGTAACATTATTTGGTATTATCAAAAGGAAGAAGATAGTTTTAGACAGCCAAACTACTGTTCTCTGAGGACTGTGTATAAATTGAAATCCTTTAAATCACTAAGGAAGGAGGAAAAATACCACAGATAAAGATACTTTTACTGATGTCACAACACATGAATGAACCCCCTCTTCTGCAGGTTCTTTCAATGGACCTTGTTGAGGGAAGAAAATTTATTTCAGACAGAAATGGTCATCAGAGTCCAACAGAGACTATTCACTTCTGCTAGAAACTGTGCTGAAACTTGAGAGGCTGAAAGGCATTAGGTGTAGTCACACTAAAAATGGAATGAGCCAACCATGCATCTAAAAATGAAATAATGTGTTTCCCACAAATCCCATGTTCCCACCTGCTGGCAACGTAGAGAAGTGCCCCACAAGTGTACTTCCCAAATATCCCCTTCATATGGCACGTAGAGTATCTCAGTGTCCCAGAGCTTTGGAAGCACTAGGATTTGTATAGGCATAGGAAATCATACCTAATTACTTTCAAAACCCAGAAGTTTGGAAATTCCATCTTTTCTCTTCCTGCTCCGTGACTTGAAGTGCTTCATTGTAGCTACTACCTCCATATGCACTCAATTCACGTATCTTCCTCATTCAAGTCCTCCTTTGGCATACTGCAAGGATAAAGTACTCTATAATCATTAAATTTGCATTACATCGGAGAAAGTAACATTCAAGATAAACCCTTGTACGTTAAACTTTAAATGACGAAACAAAACCTGATACATTGAGATTGTTTATTTTAAGTGGTACTCTGAAACTCGTGGTTAAATACAAATTTGCAAACTATGAAGCTTAAGATTGCATGGTGACTGTCTGCACAAAATAAGGCTGCGTGGTCAGTCTTGGAGCTGATGCCACTGAAGTTTGATTATTTGGAGCACAGGAGGGCTTCAAGGTTGTAATCCATGAAGGCACCAACATCAAAGGAGGAAGGCCTTCCTGCACCAAAACTAAGCAAGGGTCCTCTTAGTTACCATGAGATGTTTGTTGAAGCTGAGAGCATCACCAGCAGGGAAAGACTGAGTGAAAGCAGAGGTCATGGTGGAAAGGCCTTTCTTTATTCTGCACTCAGAACCTGGAGACAGGTACCCACTGCAGGGGCTTTCCCATGCCAGTCATGCTCACTGTGCTTTATTCCTCACTCAGCCGGGCCAGTGAGAAGAAAAAAGAAAGAAGAAAACCCCAAGGCAGCTCATGCTGCTATGACAATTTGACAATTAGAGACAGATTTATTTATTTTCTAAAGATAATTAATAGGCATGAACAGGATTTGTGTTAATGCTGAAACAGTTTAGATGCAGGATGGGATGAAATATATCACCCCAGAGATAGAAATCTTTCATTTTTGTGAATTGAAGGCAGATGAACTATGGCCTCCTCTCATGTTGCCCCAATACTAAAGGTAAAGATATGCTTCATGAGTTTGTTTTATACACAGACAATTAACAATACATTTTAGTAATGTTTCCCATAAAAAAATCTTACCCATAGCACAATACTGAAATCAGTGCAACAAAATCAAAATGACAGGAAGGAATATTTACAACCATATTGTAACGTTCCAAAATTGCAAGACCAGAACTCTCTAAAGTGCAAAGTTGTCTATATTCTACACAGATACAGGGATCTGCTTTCTTGCTTATAGTATGAACCACCACCATCATTACAGACACACCACATCTCCATGCTGAACACTGAAGTGACCAAACATCATCTTTAGGCTGACAGGCAAAAACTCCTCTACTGCATCCAGTGGGAGGCAGACATCAGCATCCAATGGGCGAATTTAGTCCCTCCACTGTAGGAGTGTCACATGCTGGATGGAGATTAACTACTGTAAACCAGGAACACAAAACAAGGAGGAAGTGTGTTTAAATACACGGACAAAGGTATTTGAATAGAAAACTTACAAAGAGCTAAATGGTTTGTTTTATAGTAGATTAAAAGACAATCACTGCATTTTTTAAAGCACAAAATAGAGGGCCCAGCACTCTGTGTTCTATTTAGCTGCAGTTTTCTCCTAGTTCACACTGGACACAAATCTTTCAGGACTATTTATACCAACAAGATTTGCGGGTTTAGCCATGAGAGCCTCTAAAACCAGAGAGAGGCCACAAAAACAGGCTCTTGCAGCATTAGAGTATTAAAAAGTCACCATTCAAAATACCTCATTCTTAAAGATTACTAAAGGAAATCATAAGAGAAGGAACATGGCTGCTAGGTTTCCAGATTAACTGGAACTTCCAGTCTATTCTCCCACATTCCTAAATATACTGGGCAGTTAATCTACATAGTATTTACAATTATTCTTGCCATTACCCAACAAAACCCAAAGAGAAAACTGCTCCTTGACACACAGCTCTCTGTACTTTGCAAACTAAACAGTCTCCAGTTTCTTATTTTGGGGCAAAACTATCCAATGTTTGCTATAGGATTTTAACTACAAGTAAACAAAGTGTGCCTTGAAAAGCAACACATGTCAAGTGAGTTAGTTTATTCCATTAGTCTAGTTTTAAACTACTACATCATATTTACTGAAACAGCTACGGCATAAGAGGTTACACAGCTAGGCTTAAGTAACCATAATCTGACATAATCCACTTGGTTATGCCCCAAACTATTTACAGTGAACTTGATCCAAAGAAACCACTTGGTTTGAAAAAGAGTCCAAAGAATCGCAAGTCCATAAACCTTATCTTTCCCAAGAAGTTGTTTGGGAATGATTTAGACATGATCAGTTCATTTTGTTTTAAGATATTCTTAGATTGAATTATACCCATGGGCAAAAGCCTCATCGGAAATGAGTCCCGAGACCTACACATGTAGCAGATGGGAGGGAAAATGAGGGGAGGAAGGAAACTGGCATCTTAGTCTGCATAGAGAAAGTTAATTGGGTTGAGACGTGTAGACATTAACAGGCATCTGAAAAACAATGAGTAACTATAAAATCATGATTATGAAACTGAGTTAACTCTATCTTGATCCTTAAAGGGGGCGGGCTAAGCAGATGGTGCTGACTACAGAAGTGAAATCTGTATAAGCAAAGTAGCTCCACACCCCATTCTGGCAAAACCTAAGCTGGTCTTTTATCAATGCAAGTAGACCAAAAAGTCAGCGGATCAAGTTATGCACAGAGATGAGTAACTCTTCATAAATCACATCCCAGGCCCCTGTGCAGCATCAGAAAAAATGGATCAATTTTAGATATAAATTCTTCTTGAATCTTGGGTAGAGGACAGTGAGTTCTCTACCCACCCAAGCCCTTGCAGAACAGAAACTTCTTCCAAAGCAATTCAGCTGATTTTACGCTTATTTTTGTGTGCAAAACTGGCTGGAAGAAAAACCCATCACTGGAAACAATGAGTTCTGCACTTGGTTCACCCATGACAGGCAGCATTAAAAGCCTCTGTGCCTTTTGCAGCAACCAATTCTGCACTTTGGTCCAGTATCTCATGAAGAGTCTTGAGTTTCCTATTAACCTCCTCAAAAGCTTTTGTTCCACAGGCCTTCAAGGAGCTACAAACCTGGCCTCTAAGCTAACTTACTGCAAGTCCTATGAAGGATTTTAGACAGAATTACCAAGTGCAAGATGAACCAATCCAAACAGTACCAAGTGAGGAATGTGTTTACAGTATAGTTCATGGTAAGTGCATATGCCATCATGTTCTGTTGAAACAGAAGCATTTCCAGGCTGTTCAGTTTCTTTCTCAGGTAAAGTGAAGTGTAGGAACTGGTACCAGAGACTGTAACACATGCATCAGCCTTTTGTGTTTGCAGCAAATCAGAAAGCTGTGTTTTTGCTGACAGGGGTGTTTTGCAGTGCTCAGCACTAAAGAATGTTATCACATTTTCCACAGAAGACAGAAATTGAAGAGTCTCAGGCTTGACTGGGCTTGGCTTTTAAGCACTTTCCTAGTACTTGCTGCATTACTTTCATATACACTTTGATATTAAAGGATTTTAACTTAAGGACAGACAATCTAAAGTACCTTACTACAAATGCTGATACAAGATCCCTAATCTGTAGAGGAAAGAATAGGTACTAATCATTTCAGAAGAATATAAACTGTGCTCCAGTTACACAGAACTTAAGGCTTTCTAAGTCCTGTGAAATGCCATAGGGGTGTTACAAACCAAACCCAGATTTGCTTCCCTCACTGCAATTAAGTGAATCTGAACACAACAGGGTGAGGAACCTGAATGGCAAAACCTGGACAAATAGGGCTGTTCATGCAAACTTTTGTTTGCACAATTTAACATTATATAGCATATAATTTAATGGAAACATCCTCAAGTGTTACAATCATGATACTGCCTTTGCTATTTGTGGGTAGTAACTAAACCCACAAAAAGAAACTCTAGAGGCACAATAGGAACATTTAAGCCCATTCATTCTATGATATCCCACTAAACCCCAAAATATGTCAGATATAAATAAACTCCTAGAAATCCACCACATTTTCAAGCAAGATAGATGCACACTAACAAAAGTAAATTAAATTAGTCTTCTAAATTAAAAAAGAAGGCTCGGAAAAAGGGAGATCAGAACCAAAGCCCCAGAGTCCCATTAATACAGTTTCAAAGTGAATTCATAGCACTTAATGGCACTTAAGAAATCTGGCATCCACTGTCTTTTTGAGGCTTTATATCTGGTTCCTTCAGAGGTTTTACTTCTTCATCTGGTTTTGGTTTAGCCTGCAAACAAGAAGAAAAAACCCTAAGCACCACCACAAGTACAAACCACTGTGCCTGGACAGTATTCATGCATGGCTAACTTTACATACTCTAATTTAATAGCTGCCTCTCTTTTCAAGGCTGAAAGGTTTGAACAAGCCTTGAAAAAAGCCACGTATTCTCTATTTCAGCATCCTTAAATGAATCCTCTTCTAAACCAGCATCTTTCTATGGCACTCACTCCCGTAACACTGCAGCATCTTATACACCTTAAAGAATTTCCTCTTATTCAGGACTTCGAAAACAATGATTCCTCGTTTCCAGATGCTGACAGCGTGGCAGAGGTTAACTCACTTGCCTCCTGGTACAGTGGAAACGTGAGCTTGGGTGGTAGCCTTGTCTACATCCAGCACTGAGCTTCGGAATGTTGCAGAAGAGTAAACCAGTAACTCTGCATTAGACACAGAATAAAGGTAACAGGAGAGAACAGTACATGAGCTTATCTTACAGTGTCATCCTTTGGCCTCTTGGTGAGATCAAATGCTGCGAGTGTTTCAGGAGTCCAGTGTGCGTTCAAGTCAGGGAATTCAAAAGGAACAGGCTCTACCAAGCCATAGTTTGCTTTCAGTTCCAGCTGGGGAGCCTCTGCTGGCACCTTCTGAAAATAGCTGTCAGAGAACACAGCAATGTAGTTAAAACACAATGCACCATCTCTGCAAGTCTTGCTTGCAGTTCTAAAGAAGAACAATCTGGGTTTTTACAGTGGCCATCAAGGCTGCTCTGTTCCTTTATTAAGGTACTGGCCAACATGCATTCTGTCAGCAGGATTCAAAAGAACAAAAGCAATTCCTTCTTGGTATTGTTCATACCCTAATAACCAAGTGGGTTTTTTTCCTACTGGATAGCCATTATTCCCAGTTCTTTGATGAGAAGAGCACCTTTTGTTCCAAAAGACCTTAAAAATCATAGTTGTAGAACACCACCTGGAAGGGACCTCAAGGATCATCTGGTCCAGCCTCTCTAGGCAAAGCATGATCTAGACTAGCTGTCCCAGCACCCTGTCCAGTTGAATCTTAAAAGGAGGATTTAAAATACTTCCCAAGAAAGATGAAGAGGACAGTTCTTTTCCTCAATCAGCATTAACGTGCCACAGTGCATAATAGCAACAACACTGCAAGACCCACGAAGGCTTGGTACAACACAAAGCCTGAATGAGGGTATAAAATTCAGCTCGATGTACTCAACTATTTCTGCTTAGTCAATTCCCCTATTATGCAGGTCTTTAAATACCATGAAAAAGGAAATAACAAAACTAGTATGAAATACTAAATCACAAGAGGAGGGGAAGGGAGAAAGAAATGAGCAAAAGAATTCTAAAGCCAAGCTAACCTTGCTGTTTTAAACTGCTTCCAAACTCTTTTTGGACAGGTTATTAGTTAACAGAAAGCCCTATTCACAGTATTAATTGTACTTAGACTGCTAAAGCTCCTAGCACCCTGAGCATGTTTTTCACTGACTGTGTTTGGGCTTCCCTGTAGCAAAGCAGAATCAGGTAACAATCTTGACCATTTCCCTTCTGTCCTCTTTTGCCTACTAGATCCCAGCAGCTGGGAAAAGGGCATCAGAGCCACACAGCAACCTCTGCAGGACTCTCTGGTGCAGAAGGAAATGAAACAAAGTGGCTGAGGAATGAAGGAAGAAAACCACTTAACCTCTCCACGTCAGTCCAACCTGCCCTGCT